AAAAAAAAAAAAAAAAAGAACTAGTCCTGCTGAGATATTTCACGTGAGAAACCAAATTTTATCAAAGGCATCAAGGCAGCTGAAAAATCCTTTTAAATTTTGATATTAAATCTTTATGTAAGTCAAAATGACCGAGTAAAATGGAGTGAACTACAAAAATTTACAGAAACATCATCCAAATAGTGATTGGCACATTGCTTGATTACAGTGAAAAGTCACTCATGAGCACCAATTTTCAAGAGGTATACATTCTGAAACATAGTTTGGAGCTTGACACTTATTCTGAGATGGGAAGCTGTCTAATTGAGTATTTGGTTGACATCCAAAACCTAAATTTAAACCCAAAAGGAGAAGAGGAAAGCACAAAAAATGGTTTGGGGAGTATACCTCACCAGGAGAAAAGAGTTCTAATACAGATGACAGAACTTCATCTGAAAGAGAGTAAGTTAAACGTGAAGTAATGCGACCAAGACCTTTTGCAGCTGACCAGCGCACAACAGTATCCTACATAAATAAATGAAGTAAAAATCAAACAAATGAAGAAAATTGCTTGAGATAAGTTTCACCAAGAAAGTTAGGTCCAAAATCAAAAAATTAATGTGCTGCAAAATTTAGTCTTTTATCTTCGGGAGTATGCAACGCATGTTGAAATATCTGAATTTTTTTTCTTTTTTAAAAAAAAATGCTTCTATACATACTGCATCTCTCAATCCTGAAAGCAAGAGCTCAATAATATCTTCTATAATATCTGGAACGTCCATATCTTCCTCTTGAAGGCAGCTTTCTCCTTGAGAGACATTACAGGAGCTCACGTTCAACTGGTGATCTGCTTGGGTGCAATCTCTTGTCACATTGGATGATATATTTTCTCCAAGAGTGTTGTTTTTACCCTACAGGATAACAATGTAGATAAAAGTAATGTTTAGAATTACAGGATAAGTTAGTAACCAGAAGAGTTTCTTCGCATTGAATCAAACTTAAATTTTTTACACAAAAGAAATGGATAGACAGAAAAGCTCAGACAGGTGCATGTGGAAAAAGAACCCATAAATTGACAAAATAAAGCTCCTAATACCTATCTACTGGCAGTATAGTAATAATGTGATACAATTACCACAATGCAAAGAAATATGATTGGTAACTGATTCAAATAGTACAGGACAAAAAGGGATTGGTTCAGTTCTGTACTAAAAAAGAGTTTCAGGCACCAACGGACATCATCTCCTCATAAAGCAATCTTATGTTTGCATAAAACATTGTCCTTTTTTTTCTATATCTCCAAATGAAGATACTTTCCAGAACCATAGAGAGCATAATGGAGAAATTTATATCTTTTGCTCTTACTTCAAACATAATGAAAAGATAATCGACCACTCATTAGCATGACATTTTTTTCAGTTTCCTGCTATTAAATCCTTCCACAAATTTGGGATCTCTGTTAATAAACTCAATCACCAACTCATTTTTCTCAGGTTCCTCTTAAATTCCTCCACCTTCCTATTCCTTTTATTTTTTATCCACTGAACTCGTGGAGGTACATTACCGGATATCTGATCCTAAATCCATTCCAGTGATACACAAACTGTAACATTTGAATATAGGGATGGGTTAATAACGAAGAACCATAAAGAAACTCCAATTTCTAGTCCGAAGTTTCCACTTGAGAGGAAGAGATAATTTACGCACTGTGAAAATCATTCATAAAAATATTATAATTTTCCCGTCAGAGTTATGTAGACCTCCAAAAGGCAAAACTAAATAACTTATTTTTCAATCATCTGTCATTCCAGATAAGAGATATGAGAACTAAAAGTACAAATTTTGGCTTACTAACCACATAGCGCCATGCCGGTGTACGATGAGGCAGACAGGTAAGCCCAATCCGCTGGGTGAGTTTTACCAGATACTTGCGAAGTAAAGAACTACGACCAGCAGTACGGGACTTTATCAAAAGTGATGTGTCATTCCATAGAACTTCGATCACATTCACCAATATAGCTGTGCTACCGACCTGCAAGACAAAAAAAAAAATGCTGGACGATCAAAGCATGTAGTTATATGTCAAAATAAAAGATGTATTAAACCAATCGAAATCCAAACCAAGGACAACCAAAATTGGCTACAAAGAAGTAAACTAGGAGGGAATTGGGAATGTGCTTCCCCATCTAGAGAAACTAATGCCTTCAGATGGTAACTTTAGTCCCTGGCTTGACTAAGAATTAGTTCATGTAATCTTACAGAAGGAAAGAAAGTCAACAGTAAAAGATGTGAACAAAGATAGAAGTAGGGGAACACAAAAAATTAAACTCAAATATGGGTTCTTTCAACCTTTCATAAATCATCCGGCTCTACAAACTATTAAACAGTTGCAAACAAGTTTAGCAATGACATATGTCAATTAAAAGAATAAATATTACCTTAAAAATGGCAGCAAGAGCCTCAATGACACCTAATAAACGGAAGTGATCTACGACACTGTCTTCCACAGATGATATAATTTCATGTGTCCAGTGAATGAAGCTGAAAGAGAACAAATACCCAAAACAAGATGAAGCATCAACAGAGGATGTATATAACCAGGAAATCATAGCATTTGAATTGTAAAGTCTCCATCAAATATTTGAAAATCAGAAAGAATATAGACTAAATTATTTTGACATTTGAAGAGCATTATGGGGAATTATGAAAGCACTGCCGCTTTAAGCGTCCAGAGAAATTTCTATTAACTGTACTGTTACAGAATAACAAACTTCATGACTTGTTTAGAGTTAACTTCTGACTTTGGTTAAAACAAATCCACCTGGTAAATGCATTCAGCATATCTGGCCGTGTTAAGAGCTTTGAAAGCAGCAATCCAGCTATGGTCCGCATAGGACCCGCACTCGACAAATAGCCCTTACATGATTCTATAATCCGCACGACCAATGGAGGAGGCTCATCTTTCCCACTGTGTTTGCCAATGGCTATGCTAGTGTCCACGGATGAAATATCGAAGGGAATCAACACAAGAATGGACAACCAAAGAAGTATGATGCATTTTGTTTCCATCTCTCCACTACTTTCCTGCCTCAATGATGTTGCAGCATTTGTGTTCTGGCATTTTTCCAAAAGAGATACTGCAAGTTCTAAATCAGAAACCTGATGGGGGAAAAACTTGATCACGGACTTGTATCCACAAACAGTAACCAGGGAATAGATTATGATGCATATGGGCTTGATCACTTCCATAATTTCATCAGAGGAAGCACCTAACTCCATGGTTCTCAAGCGGACAAGGTCCATTAGAGGTGAGACAATGCTCTCAAGATAAGGCTCTATTAATTGGCCTTGCTCTTGATACTTATCCATCTACAAATAAGAGCTCTCGAGAGTTAATAAAACCACCCCACTATTGCTATATATGAAAATGTTTAAAGAAAGAAATCCAATCTAGAAAAACAAACATTAACAGACTAATATAAGAACCACCCTGTAGCATCTGTACCTTTTTTACTCATTCACAAGCAACCATCAAATATGAACTATAATTTCTTCCAAAGCCATTCTTTTATCAAAACTAATAAGATAAATTGCTATATCAATGATTCAGGCTGGGACTGCCTTAACAATCTTCAAAGAAAATTAAGGTTCATTTTCACAACACACAACACGGGCACGAACGAAAGAGGGGGAAAATAAAGAACATTTCCTTTATGCTTTAATTTTTTAATTTTATTTTTCAAATAAATATGCAATATTGCAGAGTTAAAAACAAGATGACTCGGTGGTGATGAGTTATACTCTCACGACTTGTTCCACTGAAAACCCAAAAAAAGCTCCTATTTTTCCACGAAAAAAACAGGAACAATATGCAGAATTCAGAATTAATTAGAGGCGAAAGATATGAGCTTTACGATTATGATTCAAGAAACACATTCACACACAACTTCAACTAATTTTACGAACTCCAGAAACAGCCCTTACAAACAAAGACCCCACTAAATTCAGTGGATTTGTTTCAGTAGCTCGTGATTAACCATCACAAACGTAATACATAATGTGGAGAGAAAAAAGGGAAACTCAGGTCAGGGAAGCAGACGTACTATGGATCGTATTTTGTGGACTGCGGAGAGATCGGAGACCCGGCGAGCTGAAACGATGTCGTCGAGGAGGGACTTGACGAGCTTCCATTCCTGAAGGAAATACCGCTGCAGGACCCTCTCCTTGGAGTCGTGCTCGTCGTCTTCTTCACCCACCGGCGATGGCGGCGGTACCGACGGCTCCTCCATTTCCATGTTATTATTGTTGATTTTAACTTTTTTTCTGCAAAAAATTCTGCAAAACTGGTTTATATTTCCCGCTAGTGAAGGGTAAAAAGTTGGGGATTCTAAGGTGCGCTAGGAACCATCACTGTTACATCAACTATCCACGATAGTTACATGATGATCTAACGGTTACAAATTTCGACGGAATAATTCCGTAATGGGAATGTAGCATTTCCCAAAAAGTTCTTTTTGGTACAAATGAAGAGGCTAGACACCTAGTGATTTATAATACGCACGTTCCGTTGATAGACCACACCAACAAGATCATGTTATAGTCATTGTCGAACCCTATTGGGTGGAGCAACAAAGAACTGATACCCCAACAAATCTTCCGATGCGAAGGAAGACAGAAAATCGGTTACAAAATTCGCTTCACGGATTATATGTTTCACTCTAACCTTCCACAATCTACTCAATAACTCTTTTATGCCCGACACAAGGCCTGTGTGAACCCTCGGTGTATCTTCAAGAGAGGTGGCGAACCTCACGGCACTTTCATTATCGACTTCTGCTACAACCCGCCTACACCCCAAATCCCACGCCAATGATAGATCCCGAAACAAAACATCATAATTCTGCCGCCATAATCGAGTACACACCAATTTTCAAGGTGAAACCCCCAAGCCAATGGCCTTATTCATCGCAAATAGGCTTTTCACAATAAGGTATTTTTTTTTTCTTTAAAAATACGAAACTACGCAAAATGGCAAACTTATTGCATATCAATTACGTAAATATTATAAGCTTGGATATAAAATCTTTTGGAATTGATTTGATTTTTATTTTTTTTTGGGTTTGGTTAATTTTGAAAGAGATCGTGTGATTAGTTGTTAATGGGTATATCAAAATAATATTTAAAATGAAATAATTAAAATTTATTTAGTATAAAAGTATGAGAGAGATAATTTAAAGTGATTGTTTGTTAAAATGAGTGGATTACTAAATACCACCCCCTATTACTACTTATAGCCCCCCTAAAGACCATTTTACCTTTTACTCATTTTTTTTTAAAAAAAAACAACAGTTTTCTCCTCTCTACACTTTTTCTCTACTTTACCGATCGGATCGAGCTCCAAAAAATTTCGAAAAGACCTCTGAAAAATTCCAGCGAGAGAATGTCGTCCAACAAAATACGTATCGCGGCGGCCAGCCGGTCAAACCGGTCGGACTACCATCGGTCGACCGCGAACATGGCCGGTCAAGGTTCTGTCAGCCTGACTTTTTAGACCAGGCCAATGTTGGCCGCCTTAGACGGCCGGCTAGGCCTTCTCTGGTCGAAAAGACCTGTCGGCTGGCGCCATTCCTTCCGGTTTGACCTGCCAGCCGCCATTTTTTTCTCTAAATTTTTTAATTTAAATTATATTAGTACAAATATATTAGTATAATTAGTATAAATTATATTAGTATAAATTAGAAATGATACTAGTTTGAAAAAAATCATATTAGTATGAATTATTATGTTATATATTAGAATTGATTATCTTGTAAATTAAAATTTATTACTATTATGTTAGGAGTTATAAATTATTGTGTTATAGATTAGACCAAGGTAAAAGTCTTTTTGTGAAAGTCGTGCAATAGATATGCCTGATATAAATGTTTTATATGTGGAATGAGGAGTACGCTCTCGGAACAAACAAGATCTATTTACAGCGGGGATCATTACCGTATGAATATTTTTATGGTTACAATAGATTGTCGAATGCAAGAGCTAAACAAAAGGTTTAGTGAGCATACCGTGAAGCTACTTGTTCTTAGCTCTATGTTTGACCCTCGGAATTTTCAATTGTCTTTTAATGTAGATGTTGCTTACCTCATTGTCAGTGAATTCTATCCTAGGGAATTCACGGATTATGAAAAAGGGTTACAACAAGCTCAACTAAAACATTATCAGATTGATGTTCTCCAGCATTCAGAATTTCAAACTTTATGTACTATCTTTGATTTGTGTCGATGGATGACAACAAGTATAAAGTCTTTGGTTTACACGTTGATTGATAGTTTAATCAGGCTGATTTTCACTCTTCTTGTGTCTACGACGACAACAGAGCGTGCATTTCTCGGTTATAGCTATTGTTAATCGAGACTTCGAAGTAAAATGGAAGATGACTTTCTTCTAAATTCTTTGACTATCTTCATTGAAAGAGAATTTGCAAGATCTATTAGTGTCGAGTCAATCATTGATGAGTTTCGTGACTTGAATGAACGTCGAGCTCAATTCTAGTAGAAACGAAGTTTGAAAGGTATATATATTTTTTATTACAACCTTTTTTTTTTAATTCAATATTGCAACTTATGTCTTTGTTGCTAAGTATGTCATTATTAAAAAAAAAAAAATTGTCCTGCCAATTTATTTTCTAGATTCGCCCCTGTTTGTATTCATTTTATTTTCATAATGAGATGCTTTGTACTAAAAATCGGCCTAGACACTAGGCGTTGTCCGATCGTATTCGATTTGTATAAATCGGCTGAAAAAATAGGTCAGGCGCCTACGCGGGGCGCCCCTACGCAGGCTTGGCGAACTTGGCGGCTCCTCGGCTGAGCTCGGGTTGAATCTCGTCTTATCTTGGCAACAAATGAAGCCTTGTGAGTTGAGGTGTAAAAAATATAAACAATTATATTTAAAATAAAATATTAGAAAAATATGAGAGTTAGAAAATATAAATAATTATATTTAAAATAAAATCTAATAAAAAATTAAAATATGAACTACTCGTCCTTTAGACTTTAGATATATGATTTGCACCCTATTAAAGACATTAGCCATTGTATATAACCCTTTCTTCCCCACAAGGGCCATAACCCGCACCAGTCGCCACCCTCTCTACTTCACGAAAAGGAAAAAATAAAAATAAAAATGGCGAACAGTGAGACTAACGCAGAGAAATCAGCCAAATTCGTAGATTTCTTATGTTCCCTACCACAAGAGTTCATGGCCGAGATTCTATCTCGACTGCCCTTAAAGACGGTAGCTCAATCAAGAGCCGTTTGTCGGGCGTGGAACTTGTTTCACGGCGACCCGTCTCTCCTCGATATGCTCGATTTCTGCAAATTCTCTCTCAATCGGACATGGGTTTTTCTGCGTCAACCGAATCCACACCTCCGTGTTCTTCATCGAACTTTACGATGATGCCGCCGGCGAGGAAGAAGACAATAAGGCGTACCGCATGATTCGAGAGATCGATTTGCCCTTTTTCTGATGAATTGAGCCCCGGCTTTGGGATCGTCGGCTCTTGCAACGGCCTTCTGTGCTTAGCCCAATTGTTCTCCTATCCCGTCCAAAGAATCTATTTTCACAATCCCTTGACAAAGACCTTCAAATTGCTGCCAAAGAATAGTCTGATCAGTAAGGTGGATTATCGAGATGAATCATACGAATCCGTGTTTGGGTTTGGATACAATCCATCCGCCCAGGACTATACCGTGGTGAGTGTGGATTATGTGAAAATTTCCAAACAGGAGGAGAAAACGAATGCGTATGTGTATACTTTAAAGAGTAACACATGGAAAAGGGCCAACAATTTGCCGGTTCATAGGTTTGGGACAAGATTCCCGGGAGGGGTTTTGGCGGGTGGGAGGCTGCACAGGCACTGGTTGAGGGACGATAAGTTGGGCATTGTTTCGTTCGACTTGGCAGACAACTTTTTCGGGGAGGTCCTGATGGATTTGCCTACGATAGTTAGAAACTCGATCTATATGCTGTCTAGGCTGCACATTGCAGTTTTAGGGGGATGCCTGTCGCTTGTTGTGGATGAAGGCTTCCAGATTGTGATTTGGGGTATGAGAGTATATGGGGTGAAGGAGTCGTGGGAGAGTATGTATACTCTCGGATGGTTGTTTTACGAGGAGTATACTTTTGTCGAGGGCTCGAATTCTATTCGTGTGTTGGGTCTCAGGAAAAATGGGGATATTCTTCTGGCAATCGACTCTGTCGGATTGGTTAGCTATAATCCCCGCCATGGGGCGGTTGGGTTAGTGTTTAAAGGTGATGGGTTTGAGGCTGCGGAAGATTGTGTTCGTGTTAGTGATCTTATTACACCAAGCGCCTTGTGCTTTTGACTGTTCCACTGAAGTCGGTTGGTTGTGTCACCTTGCACTTTTGACTGTTCCATTGAAGTCGGTTGGTTGTGTCGATGATTTCGTATGTAAATATATTAGAACAGTCAATCACTTCTACCTCGCCTTAATTGAGCAATTCTAAGTTGATTGTATGTAGCTGTTGCGAACACGTTGTTAGTCGTCATGAATCACTTTTGTGCCGTGGTGGTGATGATTCTGGTAGCTGAAGTGAGAACAGGGGATCTTGTTTGCTTTAAAATGGATATCTTGAATGTCAAATGATAATTAAGGTGTTGTATTCACCCAAGTATTTGCTGAACTTGACATATTTGATACTGAACAAAGTGCGGTGTTCAGCTGAGTTGAGTCGCAAGAATTCGGAATGTTCAAGCTCAAATCAATGTTAGTTACCAACTCGAAACTAATTACGGGTTTAAATATTTTCCAGAAAAAAGGTAGAAAAAATGAGTTTTGATTAATGTAGATTATGAACTCAAAGCTTCAAATTAATTGAAGAGACTAACAATGGTGAATATAAAACAGGATGATTAGGAGAAGGTGATTATTTTGGTAGATAACAAGGCTATACCGGGCAAGCTCAAGCTTAGAAGAAAGTTCTATAGTGCAACTGAAACTATTGCGAAAGATGTCTATCTTTGATAACTTTAATGAGTTCTTATTTGTTCAAAGTTTTACATTGTAACTGTAAAACAATTTGTAATTTGGAGGCTCTCTTTGTTGTGGAGGGCATTTTTTGTTTGGCATTCAATGTTACATGGCTTTTTGCTTGCCGAACTGACGTTTGCCGGGCTGAATAGATGCTCGTCTGCCGAGTTGACGGGATGTTGGCCTGCTGAGATGCTCGCCGGATGGGATGACAGCCTGCAGTGCTGACGGTCTCTTGGGTTGCTGGGCTGCCGGACTCCTAAATGAACCTAAATAATAAACAGGTTGTTCACTAATCTATATATATATAATTGCTGCCATGTAGCATTTAATAAAACCTATTTAATAAAACCTCTAAAATTTTCTCTCCATTTTCGGTTACAAAATTTGTCATTAATATTTTTAGTTCTCACATTAATACATCTTAATGAGTGTAATCATATATGTTTCTATTATATTATATAATAGTTATTGCTAATACCAACTAATAATAATTCACAATAAATATAAATTACATAATTATAAACAATTGTTCAAGTTATGTATTTTAACATCAATATTATCTTTTTCTTTTGTATCCCATAAAAAAAATTCTTTAAAAATATTTAGTAAATTGTTTTAATAGCATAGTTAAACAACTTTAGAATTTATAAACAATTGTTTTTTAATAATATATATATATATATATATATATATATATAATTGCTAGCTTAGCATTTAATTTTACCTATTTAATAAAACCTCTAAAATTTTTCCTCTATTTTCAGTTACAAAATTTATCATTAATATTTTTTTACTTCTCACATTAACATATCCTATTAAGTGTAATCATGTATTTTTCTATTATATTATATAATAGTTATTGCTAATACCAACTAATTATAATTCACAATAAATATAAATTACATAATTATAAACAATTGTTTCAAGTTATTTAAATTAACATCAATATTATCTTTTTCTTTTCTATCTCATGAAAACATTTCTTTAAAAACAATTAGTAAATTGTTTTAATAGCATAGTCAAACAACTTTAGAAGCTTATAAACAATTGTTTTTTAGTAGTAATAATAATAATAGTAATAATAACAATAATAATAATAATAATAATAATAATAATAATAATAATAATAAAACTGTTATTATCTAATGATAATAACAATTGTTCATAATAGTAAAATCGTTAATTTATTTTTCCTAATGATCGAATTTTTAAAATGTAATATGTTCATTTCTAGAATTTTAATATTAAATTCTCAAATATTACTTACTAATATTTTATGTACATCTATGCATGTGCACAGGATATCTACTAGTATGAAATGAATGAACAAATTTAACTCGACCATTGTATTTAAAACTAGTAACCATGTGTATGATGCATAGAGGCTTTATTATCTATGTGCTTTTTTGAAGACAATGTTTTATATAAATTGTATAATAATGCAATGATCACGAGAATAAACATATAATTAAAATAAAAAATCATAAAATTGAACATTTTCTTATATACAACATTACCAACATTTATTAATGTCGTGAAGTTCCTAAAATCAAAGTAATAAATTGGAAAATCGGCCCTCCACTTGTGAAACTTTGTTTGGCCGTGAATAATGAGCCTCCAAATGCAAATCGTCGATTTGGAGACTTCAATATTGCTTTCGACTTGGTAGTTTTTAGAGACATAAAACGCTACTTTCTTTGGATCGTCAATGAATTGTGAAATATTCAAGGGGCGGATGACGGTAATAATTCGTCCACCATAATAAAGTACATATTCAATTTAATAATTATGAATATATATATATATATATATATATATATGGACGTATGTAAATAATAATAAAATTACAAAATACATTGGAATCGTGAAAGACAATCTCAAGAACATTTGTAAGTGCGCTCGTCTTCAGTGTGCTTGAACATTCTAATGATGCCTAGTTTGGTTAGGCATATTAGTTCTTTTGATATCCTTTATGAGGCCAAAAATCATAGTCATTTTTTTTTTTAATGGGGAAGAAAAAGGGATTCAAAAGTTTTGATATTCTTTCGGGCTCGTTGAGTTTGGATGGGGCTGGGTGAGGGTCGGTCGTGGTTCTTTTGGTTGACGATGGCTCTTTTGCCCCAGTTAATCTATTGTCTATAAGATTCATTATTTTCCTAGAATGATTCATTAATTTGAAAGGAATTCGAATATTTGGTAATGTAATCAATCTTATGATGCATATATATTTGATTTTTTTTTTTGTATTAAATCGAATTCTTGCAAGAATCCTTGAATATTGTTGTAATATAGATTGTCAATATGTGAGATAGACAAGATAGACAAAGAGAGAAAGTAGTAAAAAGAAAAAGAGAGAAGAGATACGCCGTCAAAACTCTCATCTTATTCATTCACTTGAGCCCTATATATAAGGGAACACAATGTATATGACTAAAGACCTAATGGGCTCCTGGCACATACCTACAAATCCTATATCTAGGTAATGTCCATAAATTAATATTTACAACACTCCCCTTGGACATTACCGCATCATTTTTTATGCCTCGTTAAAACCTCGTTGCAAAACCCTGTAGGAAAAAGCAGTCGAGGAAAAGAGTACATAACATATGCAAATTTATGTGTTACACATGCTGCCTCGTTAAAAACCTCACTAAGTAAAATCCAATGAAAAAAAAACTTAGTCAAGGGAAAAAGAGTACAGCACCGGCCAACAGGGCCTAATTTTCAGGATTATAATTAACCTTCCGGGTTCGATCTTCGAGATTTATTTATCGCTCCCCCTGAAGGAAAAACCTTTTTAGTTACATTCATAATTGTATGTTGCTCCCCCTCAAGGTAAGAGTTTCTAACATAAAATCGTCATTTGTTGCTCTTCGGGAGTTGATATAGATTCAAAAATATCATCAAATGTATTTATATAATTTATTTGTGTAACACAAACTAAGTTATCTTCAGGATAAATATGGGGAAATTTCAATAACCAATGGTAAAGAGTTAATACCATTTGAGAAGTATATAACCAATTGAGGACCCATACTTCGGGGATCAATTATACAATTGATGTCCTTATCCACCAATATCATATATCAAGTCCAAAGATAACTCAACATACATGAAGAATAATGGGATATTCTCAATATTTATCACGATATCTCTCTAAGAAGAGATTTAGTAAATCTTGCCAGCAAATTCATCACAAATTCAGTATCAGGCCTGATGCAGTTTGCGAGATAAAAGTTTAGCACAATTGCGCTTAATAAATAAACTTCATGTCGTTTGTGGACTTCAAGTCCGTTTGGAACTCCAGGTCCTATAATATCCTCATTTGTTTCTTTGGATCTTTGTCAAATTCCAAATATTTGACACTCATTGGTGTTATAATTTTACATCTCTAAAAGAGATTCTAGTAGATTGTTTGGGTCAAAAATATTCCTTCTTAGGAGATGCTCGATCTACAAGTCGAGATAATACTCTTTGGTATTTAACCAAAAGTTTCATTCTTACTCCGTCTATAAGCATGAGCTAACTTATTTAATCTTTTACATAGTGTTCACCACATAGTCTATTTGACCGAGATGATCATTTTGTATATTATCATTATACACAAGGTTCTACCTTGAATTTTTCTTACTTTACTTCTTCTGGAAGAATTTAGTTGGTTGTACCACATCTTACCAACAACTTCAAATAAATAAGCTATTTATTATTTAATTATCTTTCATCTCGGGTACTCGAGTCCATCCAGGACTTTCACATATGACTCAATAGTCATGGTAATAATGCTGCCATAAATAACTTGCGGAATCATTGATAATGAGAGAACTTATCTAAATGAATATATGTGTCTCTGCATAAACCCATGAGCATAATCTCGCTATATTTACATCATACCACCACATCACATATTTCATATAAATATTCATTATCCTTCTGGGTATGCTATCCTCCTGGGAGATATCGTGTAGCGAGTGAAAGCTCTGCCTCTATTTTCCTTTCTATCTCAATCAACCTAAGCGCTTCAAGCACTTTCATTATTTTGATCCGGATCATTATTTGAGATAGTAAAGAAATCACATAGGCAAGTATGTTGTCGACAACTGATATTCAATTTATATTTTTCTCTCAACCATATATGCAACTTCATATTTACTAGCCATATTCATAACCATTTCCCATAATATCTAATTTCGGCATTTCTGCATTTCCAGTACCATAATGGTTTGATGCACGTGCAAGATGTACTGGATCAACTCTTCAGGAGTTTCGTATAAAGGAGTGTTAATTCTTGATGTAGACATCGAAATTTTAATATTTTATTAATTAATGTCTTT